CACCATCACCACACCACACCATCACCACCACCATCACCACCACCACTATCACCATCACACCACCACCACCACCACCACCCACTATCACCATCATCACCATCACCACCACCACTATCACCATCATCACCACCACCAACACCACCACCACTAACATCCCCACCACCACCACCACCTCCACAACCACTACCATCACCACTACCACCACCACCATCTTCACCATCACCACCACCCACTACCATCACCATCACCACCACCACCATCACCAACCACCACCACCACTACCACCACCACCATCTTCACATCACCACCATCACCATCACATTTCTCGAGCCATTCCTCGTCGAAATCAGTCGAATTCAGCTTTAAAAAAAAGCAATAATATTCCTGATGCTTAAACAATCACGATGACAATAACGTTTTGGTAAGTCACTCGGTTCGCTGATAACAGAGTGAAGTGCTTTCTGGGGTTTTTTATTGTCATTATCATCTCTTACTCATTCGTTCATTCGTCTAATTATTTATTTGTTCTCTCTCTGTCTGTTGGTCTATCTATTCATGTCTCTCTTTCTTCTTTCTCTCTCTCTCTCTATCTTTTCTATCTATCTATCTTCTCTTTCTTTCTCTTCTCTCTTCTTCTCTCTCTCTCTCTCTCTCTCTCTCTCTCTCTCTCTCTCTCTCTCTCTCTCTCTCTCTCTACCTGTCCATCTATCTATCCACCTACCAACCTATCCCTCTCTATCTCACTCCCACAATATCTGCCCAGCCCCTCCCTGAGGCCCTGTACTCCTTCCTGAAGCCTGCAATCCCTCCCTGAAAGCTCTGGCACTCATTGAAGCCTCCTTTCCCCCTTCCTGAAGCCTCCTTCCCCCATACTGAAACTTCTGCACTCTCTCTGAAGCCTCTGCCCCTTCCTAAAGCCTCCGAGCCTTTCCTGAAGCTTCTGGCACTGTCTGAAGCCTCCACCCTTTCTGAAACTCTCTGGCCTTTCCTGAAGCTTCTGGCACTCTCTGAAGCTGAAGCCTCTGGCACTCTCTGAAACCTCTTTCCCCCCTTCCTGAAGCCTCTTTTCCCCCTTCCTGAAGCCTCTGGCACTCTCTGAAGCCTCCAACACCCTTCCTGAAGTCTCCTTCCCCCTCTCTGAACCTTGCGCACCCTCTCTGAAGCCTCCGGCCCTTCCTGAAGCCTCCGTCCCCCTCAATGAGACCTCCACCCCCTTCCCCATAGCCACGCCCTCCTCCTTAGTGCCTCCGAACCCTCCGCCCCCTCACTGAAGCCTCCGTCAGTGCATAAGGAATGGCAGCGTAGTCAGTGAAATGAAATTATGTTGAATATGATGTATAATATAAAACATTACATAAAGTTGTATTCATTAAAAAACAAAGATAAAGATAAAGACACAAAAAACGAGAACAGAAAAAAAAGAATTGCGGATCGGTTATCAAAGAGATAAGTATTTGACAAATCATTAAGGTGGAAATTTCAGATAAGTGATATCTGTTTCTGGAGATTTTGTGATGACCTGCACTGGGTCATCATGCGGGACCTTCAGGATTTCTTTCTTTCTCTTTTTCTCTTTTTTTTTTTCTTTTTCTCTTTCTCTCTGTGTTTGTGTGTCTATACATATGTGTGTATATATGTATATGTGTATATATATATAGATAGATAGATAGATAGATAGATAGATAGATACGCACACACATAATACATATATATATATATGTGTGTGTGTGTGTGTGTGTGTGTGTGTGTGTGTGTGTGTGTGTGTGTGTGTGTGTGTGTGTGTGTGGGTGTTTAAATATATGCATATACGTAGAGACACAAACACGCCTGTGTGTGATAAATAGAGAGAGAGAGAGATAACGTACAAATTCATGGAGGGTAAAGGTTGAGACTGCTATCAGTGTGTTAACAAATCACTTCAAATGTTGTCATTATGCTTGACTTGCATGACTTTTAGTAATCAGTTTTCTTTCTTCTAATGACCCCAATAATCGACTATCGTTTAGCTGCTTGCCTAATTCGGGGTTGATTAGGACACTTATTCTTACAGACATTCAAGTGATATCATCCTCTCACAGGCTGTTTCGATTAGCACAGCCATAGTCAAAATTCCTGTCAAACCTGTTTCGAATTCCGTTTCGAACACCCGCTTAATAGCCCACGTTTTGTATGGGGCAAGACCGATTCGAATCTTCAGTTCCCTAAAAGACTTTAGTCCGTCGCTATACCAAGTTTGAGATTTCTATTCTCTTGGTCTTTTTAACATCTGTTGTTGGACATAGGCCTTCCCCGGACTTTTTCCACGTCGTTCTGTCTCCAGTCTTCCGGCACCAAGGGTTCGAAACTCGCTGACTCAACAGGAACAGCCTTAATGTTGCTTGTGACGCGTATTAGGATGGGGAGAGGGTGGGCCACACCCTACCACGCTGGTCCAGTGCGAGTTTCTAGGGACTCTCATAGTCGCCTTTTACGACAAGCTGTGACAAGGAAGTATTCTTCTTCACGTCCCCCAATAGAGCTTCAACAAAAGGGTAACAGGTACAAGCTGTATTGAGTGCAAGCAATGGGATAGTTTCAAGACAACACAGGTCTCTTTGGCCACAATAAATGCTCTCGTGGTTTTATTATGTATCTGCTTATCTACCCATGCATTTTTCTGTGGATTTATTTAGTGTTTGTTCTTGTGACATGACTATTTTTCTGTCTACTTTACTATTCATTTATATATCCATCGGTCTATAAATTTATTTTGTGAATGTTATTGTGCCATAACCATTTATCTATCCTATTTATATCTAGCGGCCTATCTATAAGTTTATTTAGTGAATGCCATAACTATTGATCTACCAATCCATATATGTCTAGCCAGCTGTTAATTTACCTATCTATTCATAAATATTTAGTGGATGTTCTAGTAGCAGTACTAGGAATAGTCAAGTGCTAGTTCTAGTGAAATAGTTTACCACCACAGTAGCTTGTCTCTTTATTTCGGTAAGCTGAAATACCCATGTTTCATAAATTTTCAGTGCCTAGCCAACTCATGTTTGTGATACTGGGAACTGATGAGAGGATGATACTAAACATTACATAAGCGATACATATATATATATATATATATATATATATATATATATATATATATATATATATATATATATTACATTGTATGACAGTAATGTCCATAGATGTCTCCACTATTGTAACAATCTTCAAGCTCAATCTACGCAATGAAATTGTATATATATGTATGTGTATGTATATATGTATGTATATTTGTATGTATATGTATGTATAAGTATGTATGCATGCATGTAGTATGTGTTTGTATGGATGCATATGTACGAGTATATACATGTATGCAAGCATGTAGTATGTGCACATGTATATATATGTATGCATGTATTTATGTATATACGTGTATATATGTATGTATTGTGTGTGTGTACAGAAACAGAAGTGAAATTGCCCACAATAGTATAATAAAGAAATAGAGGGGGAAGCAAACATCAATTACGGAAGTCAAGGTAATAATAGAACGCGCTATTAGTCGAGCAATTAGAGAGGAAACACAACCAGTTAATAGGAATTAAGGAAAGAGTTGAAATTACGTGAATAAACGGAAGATAAGAGCACTTTAAGGATATGAGGAACGGGGAGAGTCGGAATAAACAAGAGGAGGAGAGGAGAGAGAGAGGGGGAGGGAGAGGGAGAGAGGAGAGAGAAGAGAGAGAGGAAGGGAAAGAGAGGAAGGAGAGAAGGAAAAAGGAGGGAGGGAGGGAGGAGAGAGAGAGAAGAGGAGAAGGAGAGAGAGAGAGAGAGAAAAGAAAAGAAGAGAAAGGGAGAAGAAGAGAGAAGGTGAGAAAGAAAGAGAGAGACAGACAGAGAGATGAAACAGGAAAACAGATAAGGGTGAAAAGAAAAAAATAAACAAAAACAGAAAGACAGAAAGGAAAAGGGAAAGAGAGAAGAAAGGAGAAATCACAGCGACTCGAGGGACCGACTAATCTTTACCAATTAACCGTGGCTTCCCAAGAGCCGGAAAAAAGTGCTTAAATAAATCCAGCGAAATTCACAAGAGATGATACAAACCATTTTCCCCGAATTAAACCGTCTCGGTAAATGTACATCTTTTTCTTTTAGTTTACATTCCTCTCTTATGTAAAGAAAAGAATAGAAAAAGAAAATAAAGCAGATTAAGAAGACGAAGAACAGTAATTCATAAATATTTATATGCTAGTTACTGATGACTTACTCACAACCGCACGGCAAAAATGGCGAAGATCGTAGCAGCTAAAAAAAAAGAAAAAGTCATTGAGAGAGGCTTAAGAAAGAAGGATAAGGAGGAGGAGAAGGAGTGTTAGGAAGCCTCGAAGGATGATGTTTTCGAGGACAATGATGGTCGAGATCCTGAAGATGACTGGGCGAAAAGGAAGAGTTTGAAGGCCATGTTATGCCTAAATAAAGTTGTTTTTCCTTTTAGAACTCCAGGATGCAATAATAATCAATAATAATAATGATCATGATGATTATGATAGTAATAATAGTAGTAATAACAATGTTAACAATATTGTTGATGATGATAACAATGATTATAGCAATGATGATAATATTAATAATAATAATTAATAATAATGTTAATAATTAGAATTATAGTAATGATGATAATAATGATAATATATGAATAATAATAATGATGATAGTAATCATGATAATAATGATAATATCAATAATAATGATTATAGTAATGATGATAAGAAGGATAGTGATATTTATAATAATAATAACAGTAATAATAGCAATAATAATATTAATCACCATCACCATCCATCATTATATTATCATTATCATCATTATCATCATTCATCATATCATTCATCATCATCATCATCATCATCATCATCATCATCATCATCATCATGCATCATTATCATTACTCCACCAACAACCCCAAACAACACGACCAAGAACCCACCCAAACACCCGCCCCCAGACCCAAGAAAAAGACCACCACCACCGCCACCAAAATGGACGCCGAAGCTCTCAAAAGGCCTTTAAGCTTAACCTCCCTGTGGCTGGGCGTGTCCGAGGGATATCCCCTCTTAAAGCTCCGGCCACAGAGGCTTAATTGCCTTGAAGCCCCCGCGATAGGTGTGGGATTGGCCACATTGCATCCGGATTCAAGGAGCGGCGGCGGGAGAGTCTCGCGGTGGGAAGGGAGGTGAGTGGGGTCTCGCTGTGGGAAGGGAGAGGCGAGTGGGGTCTCGCTGTGGGAAGGGAGAGGTGAGTGGGGGGTCGGGAAAAGGGGGCCGTCGGAAAGGTGGGTCCGAGGTGGAAACGCTTGTTTTGACTTTTTTTGTTGTTGTTTTTTTGTGTGTGTTGTTAGCCATTTGTTCTGTGTTTTTTTGGGGGTTGTTTTTATTTGTGTGGTTCTGAGGTTTTGGCCATTTTTTATGTGGTTTCTTGTTGGCCATTTTTTGTGGTTTCTGAGGTTGTGGCCATTTTTGTGGTTTCTGAGGTGTTTTGCCATTTTTTGTGGTTTGAGTTGGCCATTTTTGTGGTTCTGAGGTTGTTGGCCATTTTTGTGGTTTCTGAGGTTGTTGGCCATTTTTTGTGGTTTCTGAGGTTGTTGGCCATTTTTTGTGGTTTCTGGTTGTTGGCCATTTTGTGGTTTTTGGTGTTGGCCATTTTTTGTGGTTTCTGGCATTTTTGTGGTTTCTGAGGTTGTTGGCCTTTTTGTGGTTTCTGAGGTGTTGGCCTTCTGAGGTTGTGGCCATTTTTGTGTGGTTTCTGAGGTTGTTGGCCATTTTTTGTGTGGTTTCTGAGGTTGTTGGCCATTTTTGTGTTTTCTGAGGTTGTTGGTCATTTTTTGTGGTTTCTGAGTTGTTGGCCATTTTTTGTGGTTTCTGAGGTTGTTGGCCATTTTTGGTTTCTGAGGTTGTTGGCCATTTTTGTGTTCTGATTGGTTTTGTGGTTTCTGAGACATTCTTTTCATTTTTTGTGGTTTCTGATTGGCCATTTTTTTTGGTTTCTGAGGTTGTTGGCTTTTTTGTGGTTTCTGAGGTTGTTGGCCATTTTTGTGGTTTCTGAGGTTGTTGGTTTTTGTGGTTTCTGAGGTTGTTGGTTTTGTGTGGTTCAGGTTGTTGGCCATTTTTTGTGGTTTCTGAGGCTGTTGGCCAGTTTTTGTTGTTTGAAGTTGTTGGCCATTTGTTCTGTGGTTTGTGAGGTTGTTGGCCATCTTTGTGGTTTGTGAGGTTGTTGGCCATTTTTTGTCATTTCTCTGGGTATTTGGGAAGGTATGTTTCGTTAGTTCTTTTTCGAGCGCTTTTTAAAAGAATATATTACTTATTATTCAGATAATGATTATTGGAATACAGATATAAGAAAATAATGTTCATTTCCTTCGCATTTAGGCTAAAAAAATAATAAAAATCGATATGATACGAGATTCAGAACCACACGCAAGCAACACAAACGGAAGCAAGCATCAACAACAATTACTCTTTTCCTGTTCTTCCTCCTTCCAAATACCTTTAAAAAAAACTCTAATCAGACTCTCTCCTCTTATCAAAAAGCCTCGAACAGCCTCCGGGACAAGCGAACCTCACTGCGATTCTTAACGTAAGCTTAAAAATACGTAATTATTCGTTATCACCAAACAGTCGTTGCACCTCAGGCATAAAGGCAGCGGGGGCACTAAGCTCGCCCTGTTATCGCCTCACCTCCGTCGGGTATAGACGTCGCTACAGTCGCTCCTTCTGTTGAGGTAGGTTGGGCCTCGTTCCTGTAGGCTTTAGAGACGTCTCTTTGTGTCTAATACCTTATGGTTATTCTATGATAATCATTTGTGTATCTCTTTTTCTGGTTTTTAATCTGGTTTGTATTTTTTTTTTTTTTTTTTTCTGTCTGTGGCGGCGTGGGAGCGTAGGAGAGGGGGGATGATTTGTGTATCTTCTTTTATTGCTTTTAATCTTATCTGGTTTGTGTTTCTTCTATTTTCTGTGGCGGCGTGGGAGCGTAGGTGAGGTGGGAGGATTTCGACTCGGGGGGGGGGGGGAGATTGACGCGAATCCGGACAATAGAATTATTTGCTCATTTATCTTGCTCTGTGCCTTTTCCTTTTCTCATCCTCTCCGCCGAGTGGGTTTCGTCTGGTCTCTCCGGATGAGCATTTCCTTGTCTGCTTCGAGTCTCGTCTCATTTCCTGTTTGCTTGCGTCCTGTGATGGCCGTCCACTTCCCCTTGTTAACTTTCGTGTGTCTGAGATGATGGCTTGGGTTCCCTGGGGATCGATTGGGATTCCTGGTGTGGGTTGGTTTTTCCTGGCTTGGTTAGGGCTTACTCATGGCTTGGTTCTCTAATATGGCTTGAAATTTTTGACGTAGCTTGGGTTTTCTGGCTTGGCTTAGGGCTAACTGGTATGGCTTGGGTTTCTAATATGGCTTGGATTTTCTGACGTAGCTCATGTATTCAGATGTAGCTTCGGTTTTTTTTTATATGGCTTGGGTTTACTGATGTGGTTTGGGTTTCTAATATGGATTGAAATTTCTGATACAGATTGTGTTTTCTGACATGACAGGTTCGTTTTGGTTACAGGTTTGCCACAACGGTGACAGTAACGGTTGTATTGTCTCTCTCTCTCTCTCTCTCTCTCTCTCTCTCTCTCTCTCTCTCTCTCTCTCTCTCTCTCTCTCTTCTCTCTCTCTCCTCTCTCTCTCTCTTCTCTCTCTCTCTCTCTCTCTCTCTCTCTCTCTCTCTCTCTCTCTCTCTCTCTCTCTCTCTCTCTCTCTCTCTCTCTCTCTCTCTCTCTCTCTCTCTCTCTCTCTCTCTCTCTCTCTCTCTCTCTCTCTCTCTCTCTCTCTCTCTCTCTCTCTCTCTCTCTCTCTCATCTTCTCTCTCTCTCTCATCCTCCATCATCTTTTCTCTTTCTAATCCTCCTCTTCCTCTTTCTCTTTTTTCTCATGTTCCTCTTCCTTCTTCCTCCCTTCTCCAAAAGAAACTTTTTTATGCCCGTTAGTCGTTCGCTAATTTATCACAGCAGTCGATTTAATTAAGCCATTTCCTGCACTCATTAAAACAAAAATTTTGCTGGGTCAGTACACTCAAAAAGGAATTTGCTACAATATCTCTTTTTTATTGTTGATGGCAAGTTCACGATTTACATATTTCCATCTTGATTAAAGGACATTTTAGTTCCTATTAAAGGTCCTCCTACATTAGATAGATTAAGATCATATCTATTCACACAGGAAATCCTTTGTAGAGAGGCTACGTAATGATTAAAAAGCAAGTTAGTTCTTATTCAGTTAGATAGATTAAGATCATATCTATTCATACAGAATCCGTGTATAGAGGCTACATAATGATGAAAAAGCAAGTTATTCAATTTTCTTTCTACATTAGATAGATTTAGATCATATNAAAAAAAAAGGAATCGAGTATTAATAAACACAAAATACGCTCTCTCTCTCTCTCTCTCTCTCTCTCTCTCTCTCTCTCTCTCTCTCTCTCTCTCTCTCTCTTTCGTTGTCTCTCGCACGCTCTCTCTCTCCTCTCTTTCTTTCACACTTTTCTATGATTTTCAAAAAAAAAGTACCCGAGAGAAAAACGAGGGAGCAAATGCTAAAGAGAAGATGGAAACAGAGCAAAACAGAAGGAAAAGAAAGAAAGTCAACATCTACTGCACACCTGGGCGCAAAACTTAACGGGAACCTCTTCTGCAGTAGGCTTTGATTTTCTGAACTTTTGCCATTTCCCTTTGCACAGTCAGCTTCTGAAATGTAAAAGTCACATTCTATTCTTCCAGTGTTTTTTTTTTTTATGAAATAAGATAGCTTTGATTTAAATATGAAGGGATTCATAAAATTCCTTTCTTTTTTTTACATTTTCTTAGAAATACATCCTGTGTATCCGTCAGTCTCGCATTACTAGAGGAAGGCAGAAGATAATTTCAAAGTCCACTTCTATATCAGTTATTAAGGTAGATATTTATAGACAGCTACGTGAGTTTATTATTATCAAATTTAGCATTTGACAGAGAGAGAGAGAGAGAGAGAGAGAGTATCGAAACATTAATACAATCAATGGAAGGTATGCACGTAGCGATTCCGAACAATTTGCACAATACATATTTTTAGGCATCATACTTTTGATTTCGCCAACGCATGCAAATCATTGATCATTTTACTCTTTTTTTCAATAGTTAACATTCAGTAAAGCTTTTTAAATCATCCTGTCGGTCCCTTTACCACGAGAAAGTATTAGAAGTGACACCCGAATGCCTAAATGCCAAAAGAGCGAAAAGAATGCAATAGAGTCATACAAACTCCGATGAAGTGCATTCCAATAATATGACTTACTTCCCCTTCCAGAGTTAAAAAAACGGAAATTGACTCAACTCATATAAATAAAAATACTATTGGTAATCCGTTTCAAATCGTGAGAGAAAGTAAAATATGGGAGAATTAAGGGCCGAAATAAGTGTAAAAATGGGACGGAAGCGAGTTTTCAGAAGCGTGCGCTGTCGGCGTGTGTAGAGCGTTGGTTGGGCAGAGGAAGAGGCTGAGAGAGACAGGAAAGCTAGATACGACGCGCGTGACCTCTGGCGACTTTAGTTGTACGTCCGCTCTATAGATGGCGCTGGTTTTTAGATTCCTAGAAAAATATTTATATTGTTCTTCCTTCAATAGCCTCGTTGTTCTAGTTGTATGGCTTTGTTGTCCGGTTTCGTGTACTCTAACTTGATTTTGTTTGTTCCTGTTTATTTGATGATCTCATCGTTTCGTTATTTTCATTGGTGTATATTTCGTCTGCATAAATGGGTGTAATTTCAAATGTTGCATGTATGTTATCACGACATTTTTTCAGTCACGTAATGATTTCCTGAGTTAAGTCCAATGCTCTACTGTACACATTGTTTCATGTAGAACTTAGAATAATGCATAATTTCATATGACATTTTTCAAGGGTGCATTTCAATACACATTCTTTCTTGCATTCTTTTTGCTGGGTTTTAATTCACCACTTTCTTCATATTGTATTACTTGTTATATCTTAATCTACTTGGTCACTGCTAAATATATTGAAATAAAATATCTTGTCAAAATATATTAATAAAAAGATACTCCACACAACTCGATACCAAGAAAAATAAAAGGATAACATCCTCGCGAATACCTATCAGTTTTTCCTTACAACCAACAGATGGCGCTAGTGGGCTCTTCTCACCATCACCTTTTTCCGGCAAGTGTCACGGCCTTACATTCCCGTCTTGGCTCGGCAGTCTCGGGTGGAATGGTTGTGGCGATATGTGGAGGAGGAGCAGGAGTACCTCTTCTTCTTCTTCGAAATGATGGATCCTTCACACATAGAGGCGATAGAAAGAGAATACAAACAGATAGAAGACAATGAGGCATGGAGTCAAGTGTATCAGGTGTGGTATAAGACGCGTGCCTGGCTTGTTTCGAGGGGGGAAAGGAGGAGGAGAGGAGAGGAGAGATCGCGTTCAACTTCTCAAAAACAACTCTTCGTGTCATGACTGTGCCACCTGTGAGGGGATTTTGGTGTGTAGTGGAACGGTGGCTGGCGGGGGCACGTGGGGGGGGGGCACGCGGTGTTGGCAGTTGGAAAAGAGTGCCCGCTGCCTCGTTGGAAATGTATATATGTATACATTTACTTTCCGCCTTTTTGAAATTTTCTCCCCGAGTGTCAGTTTTCATTTAGACTTCTGTTTTTTTCCCGGGATGGAAATACCACATGATTTACTTCATAAGTTATAGATCAAGTCTTATTACCTCATAGTTTAACACTTGGTATCGCGTCTCATTCCAAATCACAGTTTAAATCACGTGTCCCTTTCAGTTACTGTTATATGTATGTGCTTTCAATGTGATATGCAGTTGAACCAAATTGAGTGTATTTATTTCCTTGGTGATAAGTGTTTGTTTCTGAAAGGGATATACGGTGTGCAGAATCCAAGAGCATATATATACGGTAACTAACGAGTATCAGATGATGCCACTCACTCCACGGTTCATGCTGTGGCAAAGGCCAACAAACCTCTCCAGTGTATATTATAGCAAGACAGAGCTCAGACTGGCTCATGATTGATAAATTGCCAAGGAGCAGTAGAAAAGTCACATTGCGAGAATATTTATTAGGGGACGTGTGTTGACCATTGCAGGAGTGTTAAGTACAGACGCCATAGAATCATTTGATGCAAAGTTGGCAGATTTCAATAAATATTGTGGATGTATAACTATGTTACACTGTTTTCTGTACATATAGATCTAATGTAGTCTTTATTACCATTAGTTTGCATTAATCCTATTTAACTGTTGTTCTACCCAAATCCATGTTGGTTGGGTGGCTTGCATCAAAGATTTTACAATTTTAGTATTTATGAATTGCATACAATATGTACATTAGTAAATTTAAACAGAAGTTTGGAAGACACCCTGATTTTTTCTTTCATAACAGGATTTTTTTTCATGTATTTATATTAGCTTGTACTGTTTGTTTTATTCAGATCTGAAACTCTGTGTGATATGTGTTAGAAGAGCTAGAGTCTAAGGCTAACCTGACAATGTTGAGATAATTCTGCAACCTCCACTGAGTCCACTCTGGCAAAGGGAAATAAACTTCCACCACAGATATTCTGGCAAGATAGACCTTGTCGGCTTTATTTTGCCAAAACGTATGGATAAAGATTTGATGGCTTGTACAAGAGGCCTTGGCTACCACTTATGTTGTAACTGCTCCTAGTTGCATATATTGTTGCAATAGTGTTTTATGTGAACTAAAATTACATGTAGAATTATTGCTACAGACCTTTACGAAATAGATATTATTTTTCTCCATCTGTGTAATCCCATTCTTAGTAATGACTGCATTCTTGAATAATAAGTATGAATATCCATTAATGAAATTGAAAAATAAGATAGGAAAATAAGGTGATAATGGAAAAATATGTAACCTTTAATTGAACCTCCAGGTAAACACTAGTATCATAATGAAGTCATTTATCATAAAGGCTGAATGCATAAAATGAACAATATGCTCAATTGAAGGCCTTATGGTACTGTGAATTTAGGCTCACTGTGTAACAAGCTATGTCTTGAGATTTGAGACCTGTACTGGCACCAAAATGTATTTTTTTTTTTTCTGTGTTCTGTTTGGGTTCATTTGAAAATTTCTTTTGGTCAGTAAAAATCCTCTACATATATATTCTGGCAAAGGGAGAACTTAGATTGGTTCTCTGGTTTTTGATAAATCACTATTATCAATGCAAAATTTTTGCTGATCTTTTTTTTTTTTTTTTTTTTTTTTTTGTCGACATGCCAAGAAGTGTGGAAGCTGCGTGTGAGGCCACTAACTTGTATGGGTCTTTCTTCTAAATATTTACTCTTGTATATCCACTTACTGCTGAAAATGTTCTGCTTCGCTTTACCAAATAGGCCAAAGAGAACAGGAATTTAACACAGAAAGTACTGAAAAAGAATTTGTTGTAATGGTATATGAATATATGATAGTTCCATATAATTAAAAAGTATAATAAGAATAATAAACATTCATATTCAATATGCATAGGACTTTTGGTATTTTCTGGTTACATATATATAAACACACACACAAATTATATATATTTATTTGTAAATAAATATATATTTATAAAAAATAGATATATAGATATATATATATATATTATATTATATATATGATATATATATATATATATATATATATATATATATATATATATATATATATATAACATCAATGTGTGTCTATATAGATAAAATTAGATATATATAAAATAACATGTATACATAAATATCAATATATTTATATACATATATATATATATTATATATATATATATATATAT